CATGGGAGGTCCGAAGGCCCGCCCGCCTGCCTTGCCACATGCCCAGCGATTCGGGGTGCTCTCCGCAGCGACCCGCCAGAGGCCCCACAGCCTTGGCCCATACTGGGCAGGGGTCGGGGTCCCGTCAGGGCCACTGTTGGCCAGTGACCCCGCGTCTCCGGGATTCGAGCGTGCCCGTTTGGCCCGCCTCCCGACCGGCCCTCCAAGTCCTGCTGGCCGGGGAGGCGCGCGGTCTTTGTGGGTAGGTGGTTCCGCGCGTCCCCACCGGGTGACCATCTGGGACCTCCTGGCTCTGTGAGATGGGGGCCTTGGACACCCGGTCGCCTCCCACCGAGGCGCGGGAGTGCCGGCGACAGGACGGAGCGAGCCGCGTCCCAGCGGGGAAGCTTCAGTACGGAGCTGGCGGTAGTCCGAGGGGACAGTCGGGAATTGCAGGCGCTTGGCCCCACTCACCTACATGGCTGCCTCCCGTGGGGGCTGGGAAGAGCCTTCTAGAAAAAGAAATTCACAGGCTGGCTGGAGGTTGGCAGGTGTCAGCCGCGATGGGGCGCCAAGGTCTTGGGGAGATCCTCACTGGCCGCTGCAAAGGGGGTGGCCGCCAGGTCCCATTGCAACTCTGAGGGGGATGGGAGCTGCGGCCAATTACAGCGGCTGCGTCTGTAAGCTGTCATTTGTGTGTTGGGATGCTCGAATGGAACAGGGAATTGGGGCGTCAGGAACTGGTTTGGGGTTACTGGGCTGACCCTTGGAGGCATGGCCGTGACCCGTCTTTGACCTGTTTCCCCAGGAACCCCATGCAGGCTTACATGTGGATGCATGGAGATGAAGACGTGGGCTTGCTTCTGCCCTGGGAGTTTGCCTCACAGCACAGTTGTGCAAGATGCTGGCACTGTGGGTGAGTTGACACGGGGACGGGTTCACCCTCAGAGTCAGGAATAACCTTTGCACGTGACCCTCTCTGACGGCTAGCGCTGTCGGAGCAGCATCCACGCAGGCTGGACTCGGTCCACACGCACTGCCCCTAGAGGCGTTACAGGGCTGGCTGCCGTGCCACCCTTGTGTCATGAGGTGGCAGAGAGAAGAGAGGCCGTGTCTACGCTCAGCGTTCTGGCCGTGAACGCTGTGAATGATTGTCAGCCTGACATGCCTGGTGCTCAGGACGGGGAACCTGCTTGTTGGTGACCAACAGCGGCCCTTGCCCGGCTCCATGCTTCCTGGTCTGCAGTCACTTGGGGGACGAGGTAGAGTTGGGCCGGTAGCGCAGTGAGGAGCAGAAGAGGTCCTGGGAATTGAGCGTGTCGCCTCATGGAGCAGGACCCTGTGATGCTGGGAGAGAGCGTGCTGGCATCCTCCTGGGGTGGGGACCTGCTGACCACCTGGGATAGTTTCGATTCTGGGAGCATAATGTTACAGGTGTTCTAGGCCCCCACCTACCTTGCCCCTTTATCACCTGTCTGCAGTGCAGCAGAAACCGGCACCTTCACCTTTGGGTACCCGTGGTTGCACCGCTCGGACTTAGGAGGAGCTTACCAGCAGGAAAACGGTTCCCTGTCCCACAGCTCACCTTAAACGGTTCTCAGTTGCTTTCCATCGACTTCAGAGTCGCAGCGCTACACATCGTTGGGGCACGATTCTAGCCACCAGTGTGCAGCACAAAATATCCAACTGATATTTACAGGTTTGAAGCCTTCACACCTCGGCAAACCCTCACCACAAAAAACCACCTGCTGCAGGTGGTACGGCTGTGTCCTGTCCTCCAGCCAGGGGCATGGGTCTCCTGGGTGAAGGCCGTGGTGGTCTTTGGGGTGACCTTGGTTTAGCCCATAGCTGTGCCCCAAGTTCCTGGTGACTGAAAGGCAGTGGGCAGAAAGAGGGTGCTCAATAAGGGCAGGTCCCTGCGGGTCGAATCTGTGGCATTTGTGGGCACCAGACAGAAGCCACCGCTGCGGGGTTGTGTTGTTGATGTTGGCTCAAGTGTGCTGGGGGTGGTTTTGTTCCCAGCTTACTGACTGCAGAGCCAGGTGGCACGGCCGTTTTTTGTCCTGTCTCTGAGCCACACACTTACGTTGACGTTGAATGCAGGAAGAAAGATGGTCCAGCTTCTGGATGTCGACATGAGCTGGCCAGTGAGCGGCTGCCGTGACTCAGCTGCGGACCATGGTAATAAGGGGGGTGGCCCTCGTGTCCGGGGGACCCTGTCTCGGACCCCGGCTGGGAGTGGCTGCCCTGGCAGATGTGGCCCCGGACCTGCTAGCACACAGGTGGCGGTGCTGCTATACTTGGGACATCAGGGCAAAGAGGAAGTGGCTATTTCTACACTCAGTGCTCCAGCCAGTGAGCACTTAGAATGGTTTATAGCCTCACAGCCCCAGCAGATCACTGAGGGCCTCGGCGGGGCACCCGGGGGATTGTCCTCGGCAGGCCTGCTGGAGGGCGGCTCACGTGGTAGGCAGGGTTGGAGCAAGTTCCTCTCCACAGCTGTGACACTGTGAGCCAGACACCAGAACGCTGGCTTTGTCTCTAACGTGGGGACACTGGTGCCTCCCAGCTGTGCACCTGGGAGCCCAGCCATGGTGGTGTGCTGGGGGGGTGGGGGTGGTCCTGAACCTGCGGGAAAAAACGTACATACCCATGCATTTTATTTATTTTTTTGGCAAGCCATTAAAATGGAAGGTGTAAAGGCGTCATAAGCATGTTGCTAGCATCCCTGGCCTGACCCACCCAGATGCTGGCTGCTATGCCTGCCCAACCCTGGACACCGGTGATGTCTGATTGCATGGGCTGCCCTCGTCCAGGGTGGGAGTTCTCATGCATCTTGCGTTGTCATGAGCCCGGCTCTGTTCCTGCAGATGCAGGTGGCGAGTGGAGCTCTCTCCAGGACAGTGGTGGTGGCCTCCGCTGCTGAGGTGGCCCCTGTAGTCGGAACCCATTGTGCTGGGCTGTCCCGTCTCCAGCCCTAGAGAGGCAGCTGAGCTAGGTGGGGACTGTGATGCTTCCCTCTTGTCCCTGCAGGAGGCTCCGGGAGCCTGGGACGTCACTGGTGGTGTAGCCACAGATGGCAACCCTGCTGGCAGCCTACCCCCCCAAGGGTGGGTCCCAGAGAAGCACCCACGGCGTCCTGGGGGCTGTGGTGTCTGGTAGCCCGGGGGAAGATGGGCAGGAGTGTGAGGTGGCGAGAGCAGGAGACAGCAGCCTCGCAGCCCTCAGCACAGCCGGACGGCGTCCGGGACCGGGAGGCGCGGCCATCGTAGGCCTGTTGCTCGCTGCAGAGTCCGACGCTGGCTCTGAGCAGCTCCGGCAGGGTGTGCAGTAGCAAAGCTGAGGGCCTCACTGCTGCCCCCTCTGACCTGGGCCACCGCCCACATGACCCCCTGCTGCAGGGAGAGGAGCAGGGGAGCACTGCCTGATCGGGTCACTTCCTGTGACGACGGGAGTGTCAGCAAGAGCCTGGAGGTGGGGGGCTGGGGTGAGGGAGGAGGGTGTGGTGGTGTGGACAAGAGGCCTCCCCATGCAGACCCGCCCTCTGTTTCCTCGAGGAAGGTGGGCCGAGGTAGCACACCACTGTTGATCTGGAAAATCCGGGGGTGCAAAGGTGACAGCCAGCGTGGAGTGGTGGGAGCTGCGGCCGCTGCATTGTGGACGTGTGGACAGTGG